TAATAGATGTAATAGACATATCAACAGTCGTGAGAGCCACCAGACGTGGTCCGACTGTGGCGATGCTGGGTCGAGCCACCTGAAGGAGGGGGGAGGGGCCGAAAGGATCGAAGGGCAGGGGAGACAGTCCGTCGTGTCACGCGCGGTGTGGGTCTGGTCTTTGAGGGGGGATGCCCTCGGTAAGTGCTCGTAGCCTGCGAGTCATCGGGCTGGGCAAGCAGACCCAAATCGGCACTAGGGACCTGCCCCGTCTCTGGGGCCGTCTCCTGTCTGTCAAAGTGGACGAATGCGCTAGAGGCGAAACTCTCGCACGAGACGTCATGCTGAGCGCGGTTAAGACCGCATGCCTTCTCTTGGATGGGAGGGAGAGAGGCTCCATTCGGCGGAGCACTCGGGTGCTTACCAAGAGAGTGAGGCTGGAGAGTAGCTATGTGCTCAGCCGAGCTCCCAAGCTCAGCAGAGGGAAGATGTGTCGGCTCTTCCCCTTTCGGGGGAGCGGTTGCGGGAGCTGTCGTCATCTCCAGGGAGCGGTCCTGGCTAGATGAATGGACAGCCAAAGGAACAGCACCTCGAGTGCTGTTATCAGCTAAGTGAATGGACGTACCACTGGTCGAGGCATCCGGCTGCTCCAGATCCTCAGCTAGGAGGTCATCATCATCTAAGAAAGGAAGGTCTAAGGACCTATGGGGATCACTGGTAGAGGTCTCAGGCTCATCCTCTGCCTCAGGGGAGAGGACTGCAAAGATCGAGTGATTGGCCTTAAAGGCCGACTGAAGGGTATGTCTGGGAATGAAGCCCGAGGTCTTGGCCTTGGGCCCAACAGAAGCCAACTGCTTAGGCTGGTTAGGATGAACATCCTTTCCAGTTTGGGCAGTGGAGACCATCACAGCCTTGCCCTTATCCTTGACCCCCTTTGGGGATCCGGGCGCATGGAGAGGGCCTTTGCCCTTTCCCTTCGGTTCCCTCCGGCCATTGGAGGGTCCCGGCTGAGACGCACGATGGTGCGGAGGGAGAGTGGGGCGTGGCTTATTGCCACTAATGTAGCAATCGGCCGCTATGTGCCCCACATGACTGCAGGAAGTACAGAACGCGGGGATCTTCTCGTAGATCACCCGCTGAGCAAAGGTCTCCGAACCCTGCTCAATCTCAATCTCATGAACGGGCTCAACCCTGAGATCGATCTCAACACAGAACCGAGCCACATTAGCCCTCGACTGGAGGGCTGTCGGGGCATCAATGCGCACCGGTTTTCCGACACACTTTGCAAGTGTGGTGATGGAATCCCGGTGATACAGATGTGGTGGAAGGCCGGGGAGGCGGCACCACACGGGGACGACAGGCGTCTCCGTCTTCGGGTTGAACTCGGACGTGTACTTGAACACCCTAGCTGGGCATCGACACACAGAAATGGAGGTCTTAAGCCAAGTCTCATTATAATCCTCAGGAAGGTCAAAGGTGACTAGGAGATGATTGAAATTATACCACTTAAATGAGAATCTACCCTTAAACCCCAACTGACCTAATCCAGCAGATATAACTCGGGGGGGAGGGAAGTCATAAGAGAACTTAAATACCAAGGTGTTAGCTAACTTACCGGCAAGGGTGTCAGCTTCGGCCTGCGAGAATCGAGCCTTCACTTTGTTTCCCTCCGAGCGGATGATGGTCCCGCAAGCTTGGTCATAATCCCCGTCAAAGGTGTACTCCTTGGGTGTCGGGCGTGAAGCGTCCAAGCCGCCATCTCTCTTTCCCGTAATAGCATCTCAGAAAGAAAGTGGGTTCTTGGAAGTGACCGGAGGTGACCCGGTTGCAGCGGGGCTGGCCGTGGGAATGCCCGTCTGAGGTGAGATGCGGACACCATGTACGGGCTCGTGACCACCACCCCATCTTATCGCACATATAGGGTGGCCGGACCAGTGTTTCCGGCAACAAGGGTGGGAGTTCCGGTGGGTTGCTCGGTCGGTTGAGGTGAATTTTTTTCGGGGACCGATGGAACCGGTCATGGAAATCAACCCCGGGGCAGCTCTGGACATAATGCCGGATTGCTGTGATTTTCCGGCAGCCGCTACGGCGCCGGCGCCATCGAGTGCCGGATGCTCGATTTCCGGCTGGACAGTGATGGTAGCGGGCAGGTGTACAGGTTGGGGGCTGAATTGTATTATAGCAGGCTGGACAGTCTGGGGTGAGGGAGTTGTTTGCAGTACATGGCCTTGGACGGGTAGGCCCAAAAATGGGCTAAATTGTGAGGGTTGTTGGTTGTGGGTTGAAGGTTGTGCGGTCTGCTTTTGGATGCTCAAGGTGTGTGATTTAATTTTCTCGGTAGTGGTTTGTGGGTTTTGGGTATTGGTTTGTGAGTTCTGTTTAATTTGCTGAGAGTGGGCCGGTTGAAGCTTTGTTTGTGGGTTCTGTTTTATTTGCTGTTTGTTTGATTTGGGTTGAATGGGCTGGGAGAGGGAGGAGCCCAAGGGAATAAGGCTTGAAAGCTGGTTGAGGTGGGCCGGTTGAAACTTAGGCCCAATAGGATGGATTTGGCCCTGATCCTTGTCCCTAAGCTCAGTGTTGGCCAGCTGTCCAAACCCTATCCGATGCTGGCCCGTTTGCAGAGAAGGAGATGCTGCGACAGTCGTCTTTTCCGACAAGGACAACTCAGCTGAGCCGAAAATGGCCGGCGGACCGTCTTTAGAAGCTGACCCGGGATTGATCCGCGCGATTTCAACGTAATCCTTCCTCTCCTCCGCCACTATTTCACCATCTTCTGCGATGAGACTTTCTCCTTCTTCCCTAATATTTGATTTGAATTTGTTGAGGAAATCTGAGAAAGCATTACGAAATTCTGGTTGGGATAAAAAAAGGTCTAGGTCGGGCAAGGACAGAGGGGGTGGAGTGACTATGGTGGACGGGTTTTTTTACTGTGGATCCATGGACGACCCAGATAGGAAAAAGAAAGGAAAACAAGAAATAAAAATAAAAAGGCAGGCCCGGCGGCCAGGGAGGCCGCCGGCGGTGACGACAGACGGAGGAGCTAGGCAGAGGGTGGGGGCGGACGGCAACAGGGGGGAGAAGAAGATGGGAGGGGAAGGGAAAGGGTAGAGAGAGAAAGCTAGAGAGAGGGGAGAGCATTTGCTATCATTGTTCTCTGTAGTTGTTAGGTTAGTTCTATGTAGTTGCTAGGTTAGTTCTCTCTAGTTGCTAGGTTCTTTTTTTTTTAGCAAACAACGCCCCGGAAGGGCGGGGGATTGGGCTTGATATAGCCCTATTATCATAGCCCGGTTCAGGCGTTAGTTACTCGACTCGACAGACGCTTCCAAGAATATCGTCAAGACGATACCTCCAAAACTCGACATGACTTGTCAGTCATAAGAAGATCACCACCGGCTTAGGGACGATCAAGAGACGACTTTAGGAAGTCGACTTGGTGTAAGTCGACTTACGCGCTAGAAGGCGAATAAGCATTCAGAGAGCCTCGGATATACTAACAGGACCATAAGTCGACTCGACAAAGCTCCAACTCGACTTAGAGTACCTCTGGCGACTCGCATTTATCTCCGTATCATAGCAAGGCTTCCTGAGCTAGAGAATCTGTATGAGATGAAAAGGAATCTAGGTGTTGACTCAGAGAGTGGGCAGAATGTGAACCGACTAGGGCATTTTGGACAATTCAGGTAAGTCGGCCAGGGCATTTCAGGTATTTCCAGTGAGCATTTCTACCCTTATATAAAGGAGTAGAGGTGACTCCAAACCCTAACTTTTATTCTCTTCATTCATTATTCAGCTACTGCTCCTACTGAGCAGAGCTCCTCTTCTCCTCTCTCACTGACTTGAGCGTCGGAGGCTCTTCAGCGGAAAACACTTCCGGTGTTGAGTTCTTGCAGGTATTCACAGCGGTTCACGGGCGACTTGGAGACGATTCGAACAGACCGGAGCTCATTTCCACCGGTTCACTCCAGATCTAGGAGGAGACCCATCAAATTGGCGCCGTCTGTGGGGAGTTCTTGAAGGAAGTAAGAGCTTTACACCTAGTTTCGATCTGTTTGACATGGCGGAGAAGGAAGGATTATCGAGAAATCTAAACGAGGACTTCAGGGCAGCGTGGACGGACAAGCGGCCGCCGCCGATTCCTGGCCCTAGACCACCGCTTCAGGTTCTCGGTTTTCCACCCTTTGGGGGACACGCGCTGTCGGGGGTGAGTACTGAGGAAGAAACACCCATCACGCCTCCCGGGGTAAAAATTCCGGGGATAACACAAGGAGAACCTAGCCAGGTGAAGGGCACAAACATGGGAGTCGACGGCCGCGAGTCCACCGAAACGACTTTGAGCCTGGGAAAGCAATCCAGAGTGCTGGAATAAGTGACAAGACCACCATCCCAAGCCGAGGAGCGGACGATGACTGTGACGAGGAGTGAGATGCAAAGAATGATAGCTGAGGCGGTGGCAGCCCGACTCAAGTAGGTCCAAGTCGAGCAGCCCAGGCTCGAGCAGCCATGGATTGAGCAACGCAGGATCGAGCCACCACCCCATGATCACGAGCAACAAGCCCAGTCCAATGATAGGCAGATCAGAAGGGTGGAGGAGGAGGTGTCCTCCATTAGGACCGCTCATCCGCAGGCAAGAGATGAAACACTTGAACAGTTGCTGGCCCAAGTTCGTGATTTACAGGCCCGAGTCGAGGGGAGGAAAGTTGGAGGCTAAAGGGGACATCCGTTCTCACAGCACATCATGGATGCTGACATGCCGCAGGGTTTTCGTGATCTAAACATAAGTTACGGCGGGTCGACCGATCCATCTTGTCATATGAGGAGTTTCGAGAATATGGCGGTTTTGCATCGCTATAATGACCCTGTGCAATGTCGAGCTTTCCTAACAACTTTGCGGGGATCTGCACAGGATTGGTTTCACCAACTACCAGCGGAAGCCATCAAGGACTTTGAAGGATTCAGTGCAAGCTTCCTCAATCAATTTGCAAGTGTTCGACCGCAGGAGAAATCGTATCTGACCTTAATGGGCATCCAGCAGAAGGAAGGTGAGTCGTTACGAGATTATGTGGCGAGATATACGCGATTATGCGTCGAGGTGCCCAGGGCGTCGGAGGAGATAAAGGCAGGAGGTTTGACACGAGGGTTGCTACTGGGCTTGTGCAGGAATTCTCTGGCAAAGCACCCGGGAAGAACGTTCGACGAAGTGCTGGGAAGATGCGCGAAGTATATGAATGTCGAAGAGGCAGAGATCGATTTCTCGCGAACAGCTAAAGAAAGTAAAGCTGACCCTCAGGATGAGAGAAGGGAGAAGAGAATTTCCTCGACTGGGGAGAGAAAGGGGTCTCCACGAGCAGAGAGAGAGGGGCGACCTAGGGGTTGGAGGCCGACTCAATACACCCCTTTGTCGGCCCCTCAAGCGCGAATCCTGAAGGTGATGGAAAGAGAAATTCATGACAATGTTGTCAGATGGCCCAAGACGAGAAAGGACGGACCAACGAGACCAAAGAGCAACCTATATTGTCGATTCCACAAGGACTATGGTCAGAATACCGACGACTGCAGGCACCTTAAAGACGAAATCGAAAGACTGATTAAGGCAGGACACTTGAAGGAATTCATATATAAGGATCGAGAAAAGTCGAGCAGAAGAAGAGAAAGGAGCAGGAGCCCTCGCAAGAGGGCGAGGACGCCGGAGAAAGAGGAGCTCCCAAAGAAAAGGGGAACCATACATATGATATTTGGAGGATCGACTGATGGGGATTCGAATCGAGCAAGGAAGGCGCATGCCCGAGGGCGCCATGGGAAAGTCGAGGTACAATAAGTCGATGAGAATGGACCGGTAATAAACTTCGGTCCAGCAGATGCTGGAGAAGTTGAGAGGCCTCAGAACGACGCATTAATGATAACTGCCCAAATATCGGGATATGAAGTGCAGAGAGTGTTTGTCGACACTGGAAGTTCTGTAAATGTGATTTTTTACGATTGTCTCAAAAGGATGGAGCTCGACATACAGCTCACACCCCTCCATACCTCACTATTTGGTTTCAACGGGTCAGAGGTTGCGCCCCTAGGAGAAACCATGCTAGCTGTCGTCCTAGGGGAGAGAGACTTGCGAAAGGTAAAAATGGTGAGATTCGTGGTGGTCGATGTCGAGTCAGCTTACAATGTGATCTTGGAAAGGCCAGCACTTAATGCATTCCAGGCAGTAGTCTCAACCTACCATATAAAGCTAAAGTTCCCAGTCGGAGACCATGTTGGAGAGGCCCGAGGCGATCAAAAGCTGTCGAGGACTTGTTACCAAATCGCTCTAAAAACCAACCAACGGGCCAAAGTCAAGGAGCGAAAAAAGCCAATGATAGGTGAGAAGAGGCCAAGGAATAGTGATCTCGAACCACACGGGGAGTTAATGGAAATACAAATCGGAGAAACAAAGGAACAGACCACTAAGGTCGGGAAGGATCTGAAAGACGAACTATGAAATCGACTCATCACACTATTAAAAGAATTCAGGGATGTTTTCGCCTTCGCCCCCGAAGAGTTGACAGGTATCGACCCCACTATCATAGAGCATAAACTCAACGTTGACACCCTCAAAAAGCCAGTAAAACAATGACTCAGACGCCACGGTGAAGAAATCGACAAAGCAATTGAAGTCGAGGTGGACAAGTTGCTGCAGGCGGGGCACGTCAAAGAAATCCAATTTCCCGAGTGGATATCCAACACCGTGATGGTAAGAAAGGCACTAAATAAATGGTGCATGTGCATCGACTTTCGTGACTTAAACTTGGCCTGCCCAAAAGATTATTATCCCTTACCACGAATTGATCAACTCGTCGACTCCACGGCTGGTTGCGAATTATTGAGTATGATGGATGCATCTCAAGGATACCACCAGATTCCGTTATGCCCAGAAGATCAAAGTAAGGTGAGTTTCGTGACGAGTAAAGGGACGTACTGCTATGTCGTCATGCCCTTTGGGCTTAAGAATGCTGGAGCAACCTACCAACGGCTGATGGACCGAATGTTCAAATCTCAGATCGGGCGAAATATCGAGGTATATGTGGACGATGTCTTGGTGAAAAGTAAGGCCTCAACCTCACACCCAAACGATTTAAGGGAAACATTTCAAACCCTTAGGGCGTTCGGGATGAAGCTGAACCCAAGTAAGTGTGCCTTTGGAGTAAAGGCAGGACGATTCCTGGGGTATATCGTCACAGAGCGAGGAATCGAGGTAAACCGGGAGAAGGTGAAAGCCATACTCGACATGGCCCCACCAAGAAATATAAGAGATGTGCAAGTTTTGACGGGACGAATTGCGGGACTAAGCAGGTTCATCGCTAGAGCTGCAGAGAAAAGCTTCCCATTCTTCAAATTGTTAAAGAAAAAGTCGACCTTCTCATGGAGTGACGAAGCACAAATGGCCTTCGACAAATTTAAAGAATTCTTGGGCGAGCTACCCTTGTTGACAAAACCAGAGCCCGGCGACGAGTTGGTGCTTTATATATCTGTGGGTTCGGTATCACTAAGTTCAGTGTTATTGCAAGAAGAAGGAGGTGTCCAACAGCCAATTTACTACACCAGTCAAGTTCTTCAGGGTGCAGAGACGAGATATTCTGAAATCGAGAAAGCCGCCTTGACACTGGTGATAACGGCTAGAAAACTAAGGCCATATTTCCTGAACCATGTGGTATTAGTCAGGACGAACTTTCAACTAGGTGAAACACTGGGCCGGCCCACGGTATCTGGTCGACTCGTCAAGTGGGCAGTCGAGCGGAGCGAATATTCAATCAAGTACGAACCAAGACGAGCCATAAAGGCCCAAGACCTAGCAGATTTCATCCAAGAAGGTACCAAGGGGGAAGAAAAGAAATGGGTCATTCACGTCGACGGGTCCTCAGCGGCCAAAGGATCAGGTCTGGGAATTGTTCTCGTCTCACCAGAGGGCCAGCAACTTGACTTTGCTATTAGAATGGGATTTAAGGCCTCGAATAACGAAGCAGAATATAAGGCGTTAATCATAGGAATTCAACTCGCAATTGGCGGAGGAGCGTCAGAAGTTGTGGCGCATTCCGACTCACAGTTAGTTGTTGGATAAGTATTGGGAAGTTGCGAGATCAAAAGAAGAACGAATGATGAAATATGTCGAAGAAATCCAAAGTCTTGTGCAGGGCCTGGAGAAGTTTTAACTAACACAAATCCCTCGAGAGGAAAACAAACGAGCAGATTGGCTCGCGAGAATTGCGAGCTCGAATGATGGGAAGATGGGAATTTCTATCACCACTATGCACTTAGAGGGAAGCGTGTTGGGCGAAACGATGGAAGTCGAGGAAAAAGACAACTGGAGAAAGTCAATTCATGAACTCCTGCAGGGTCGAGTACCTATGGGAGATAAGCAGGAGGCAGAAAGGGTTGCTCGATATCTAAGCAAATACTTTGAAGTCGACGGGATCATGTTCAAAAAATCTATGGTTGGGCCTCACTTGCGATGCGTCTCCGAAGACGAAGGAAATCATGTCTTGAAAGAAATACATGAAGGATGTTGCGAAGCACATATAGGATCACGAGCCTTGGCAGGCAAAGCCCTGCGAGCAGGATACTATTGGCCCAAGATGCGAGCGATGGCAGAGCAGCTGGTTCAGAAATGCGAAAAATGTCAACGACATGGGCAAATCACGCACATCCCCGCCGAATACATGACGACCATAAACACCCCGATCCCCTTCGCACAATGGGGAATCGACTTGGTAGGACCACTACCGATGGGAACAGGGCAGAGGAAGTTCTTAGTAGTCGCTGTCGACTATTTTACCAAGTGGGTCGAAGCGGAACCGTTGACAAAAATTACGGAGGAAAAAATGATCCAATTCCTGTTTAACAATATCTGTTGTCGATTCGGAGTCCCGAAAGTGCTAATTTCTGACAATGGAACTCAGTTCCAGGGGAAACGAATTCAAGCATGGTGCCTCGACATGGGAATAAAACAAAGGTTCGCCTCGGTCGCACACCCCCAGGCTAATGGGCAGGTCGAGATGACTAATCGAACAATTCTACAAGGATTGAAGAAGAGATTGGAGAGAGCATCAGGTGCTTGGGTCGATGAGCTGACAACAGTCCTATGGGCTTATAGGACGACCCCAAGAAGCTCAACAGGCCAGTCGCCATTTCACATGGTTTACGGAATGGATGCACTCCTGCCTATCGAAGTCGGATTAAATTCGCACAGATCGACATTTTATGAGGAAAAGAAGAACGAGGAGATGGTAGAAGAGGCCCTCGACATGATAGAAGAAGGACGAGAGGAGGCCTGGGTGCGACCCATGGAATACAAGCAGAAGATGCGTGCAGCCTTCGACAGAAAAGTCCGCACAAGACGATTTCAAGTTGGAGATCTCGTCCTCAAACGAGCAGATGCTCTTAAACATGTCGGGAAGCTTGAAGCTAACTGGGAAGGACCTTACACTATTACCAAAGTGCTCGAGAGAGGTGCATATGAACTCGAGGATGGCGAAGGACGACAGTTGCCGCGATCTTGGCACGTGATCCATCTCAAACGTTTTTATGCCTAGGATAGTATTTTGAACTCTTTTTTACTGAACAATGCTTAATCAAATTCAGTAATGCAATGACTCCCAAGTTTATGTTTAAGTTGTGTCTCTTAAATTTCCATGTCGATTTTATTATGATTACCCAAAAAATCGAATTTTTCAAAGCGGCTATAAAGCCGATTGACTCCTACCACTACGAAGTCGATCTAAAACAACTACGAAGTTGTATGCCTCGAGTGGAATCTCGGCAAAAAGGCTACGAAGCCTACGACTACAAAGTCGATCTAAAACAACTACGAAGTTGTATGCCTCGAGTGGAATCTCGGCAAAAGGGCTACGAAGTCTACGACTACGAAGTCGATCTAAAACAACTACGAAGTTGTATGCCTCGAGTGGAATCTCGGCAAAAGGCTATGAAGCCTACGGCTACGAAGTCGATCTAACACAACTACGAAGTTGTATGCCTCGAATGGAATCTCGGCTAAGCTATGAAGCTTGTGATCACGAAACCTATAACTACGAAATTGCCATTCGAAATGAACCTCGGCTAAACTATAATTATGAAGTCGGCAACGACGAACGATTACGTCCCTAGATGTCCTAGAAAATTAGCTATGAAGCTGTTAAAAACGTTGCTCGACTTCGACCAGCTCGCAAGCCAGGTTGGGAGAAGACGAGTTGAAAAAAACTTCGTTTATCAGCTATGAAGCTGTTAAAAATGTTGCTCGACTTCGACCAGCTCGCAAGCTGGTTTGGGAGAAGACGAGTTGAAAAAACTTCGTTTATCAGCTATGAAGCTGTTAAAAACGTTGCTCGACTTCGACCAGCTCGCAAGCCGGGTTGGGAGAAGACGAGTTGAAAAAACTTCGTTTATCAGCTATGAAGCTGTTAAAAACGTTGCTCGACTTCAACCAGCTCGCAAGCCGGGTTGAGAGAAGACGAGTTGAAAAAACTTCGTTTATCAGCTATGAAGCTGTTAAAAACATTGCTCGACTTCAACCAGCTCGCATGCCGGGTTGGGAGAAGACGAGTTGAAAAAACTTCGTTTATCAGCTATGAAGCTGTTAAAAACGTTGCTCGACTTCGACCAGCTTGCAAGCCGGGTTGGGAGAAGACGAGTTGAAAAAACTTCGTTTATCAGCTATGAAGTTGTTAAAAACGTTGCTCGACTTCGACCAGCTTGCAAGCCGGGTTGGGAGAAGACGAGTTGAAAAAACTTCATTTATCAGCTGTGAAGCTGTTAAAAACGTTGCTCGACTTCGACCAGCTCGCAAGCCGGGTTGGGAGAAGACGAGTTGGAAAAACTTCGTTTATCAGCTATGAAGCTGTTAAAAACGTTGCTCGACTTCGATCAGCTCGCAAGCCGGGTTGGGAGAAGACGAGTTGAAAAAACTTCGTTTATCAGCTATGAAGCTGTTAAAAACGTTGCTCGACTTCGACCAGCTCGCAAGCCGGGTTGGGAGAAGACGAGTTGAAAAAACTTCATTTATCAGCTATGAAGCTGTTAAAAACGTTGCTCGACTTCGACCAGCTCGCAAAACGGGTGGGGAGGAGATATAGTACGACATGGTAAAAAACTTGTGTGAAACATTCAAAAACTCACAATTACAAACACTTGAAAGGAAAACCGCGAAGAATCGATAAAATATAGACAAATGACGAGAAAAGATAACATTATATTAAAAGACGTTCAAATACATCCGAAAACCACCTCGATCTTTACAATTCGGGAAAATAGATCGAGTGTGGCGATAGAAAAATAACAAACTTCAAGACAAGCGAACATCTAATTCTGCTGAGAATCAGCAGTTGATTTTTCACCAAGTTCGGCATCCCCGCCTCCGTCAGCCATAGGCTCAGTCCTTGCATCTTCCTCGTCACCCAAAGGCTCAGTCCCGCCACCCGTCTCCTCGACCGTGGCCCCGCTCTCGGCTCCTCGATCTCCCTCTCCTCATCGACCTCTTCCTCCTCTTCCTCGTCGTCCGCTCCACTCGGCTCAACCAAGTTGATTGGACCTGCCAAAGGGGTAGGGGGAACCTCGAGCTGGGTGCCCAACTTAGCTTTTCAGATCGCTCGAGCCTCAAGACCCGTTCACCAAGGATAATCGTCGGGAAGCGACGTATCACCGCGATAGCCGGCCGGAAGAGGAAGAGACTCTTTCAGCGCTTGACGGTCGTCCTTGCCCTTTAGAGTAGTGCCCTTCGCGGCCGACTCCCACGCGTCGAATGTAAAATTGAAGTACTGGAGGGTCGCAGGGCACAGTTTCTCGAGGAAGTCGGGAGAATTGCAGAACGCTCCTACGACCTCCTTCCGATAGGCGTCGAGGAAGACAGAACCCATCGGGGAGTTGAGGAAGGATTTACGTCCCTCCTCCCTCTCGATCTCCCTTTCAGCCACATTATCATCAGTAGCCTTAACAAGGTCGGCTCGCAGTCGGTCGACTTTGGAGAGAGCGGCAGCCTTGTCAGCCTGAAGTTTTGCGATCAAAGCATTGGCTGCCGCGAGGTCATCGTCCTTCTTTTCAAGCTCAAGGAGCTGCTCCTGGCACTTCTTTTTATAAGCATGGACGTTGGAGTTGGGCGAGCTTGATTCCTCGAGGAGAGTTGGCATTATGTATGCCATAAACTGAAAAAGAACTAAAACGTCAAAACTAAGGCAGAAGTGTGTGTATAGATAAGTCGACTAGAGTAGGGGTTGAGAATGATTACCCGAGAGAAGCACAGTAGGGCCCAACCAGCACGATCGGAAGGATCACGGTCGGCGCGAGCTTTGTCAACGGCAGGGATGACCGAATCAAAGTATTTGGCAATCTCATATGGATGAGGATGGTTCCAGAGTTGGCAGGGCCTCTCGAGTGTGACTGTCTCGAGGGCGCCAGGAGAACGGGGAGCTTCGACGGCTTTCCCCTTGTCGTGACTCTTGAGGCGCTTGGACGAGTCAGCCCTCTGCTTGGGGTCGACTTCGTCTGGTCCCCTTTTCTTGCTCCCAGGACCCGAGTTCTTATGCGGCAGTAAGGAAGGGATGGCCATCTTCGATTTTCTAGCGATGGTCGTCTCGGCCACCGCCTTTTTCGTTCCAGAGCCAGATCCATCGTCGGCTCTCGCTGAGGGAACGACTGGCCTGGCGGACTTTTCACCGCCTTTCGCCTTCTTAGTCTCGAAGCGTTGCAAAGCCTTAACTGAACGAGGGAATTAGTAAGTAAGAAGCACCACCAATGACTATAAACGCGAGTAATTTATGAATAAAAAAGAAGAGAGATAAGCATAGAAACAGAAACACATGGGCTTACGAGGGTTCATCGACGCGAGGGGCGTCCTCGTCTTTCCACCAACCCACATGATTAAGAATACCGCGATCTTTAATCAACAAGCGGGCACTC